CTTGAGTGTTTTCGGCTAAAATTTCTTTTTTTTTTTTTTTTTTTGTCCGATAGTGTTAAACGATTATTGGTCGTTGATATATCTTCGAGATACCTCTCGCACAGACTAATCCGTAAGTGAATGTAGCGATCGATGTAAACATGAGAACAATAAAGGATCCGTTCTAATTTTTGTGATTTGTAAATTCTATTGCTTATCTATCAAAAAAAGTCTACGTTGTCGCGCAGTGCACACGTGGCGCTTGTTGGAGGGATCATGAGTCTTGAATGAGCTTAAGGCTCCTGGCGAGTTTGTAATAATTGGCTATAAATGTTTGCACTTCGATTGAGAATGCGTAGTACCAACGGTGGTCTCTCGTTTTTTTTTTTTTTTTTTTGGATTATTATCGATGATTTACAATTCCAATGTAATTCTTGCGCACTCTAGTTTATTAAAAATGCCTGAACTGTGGGCCTCTATGCGTTATCATTCGTTTGTATCTACTATTCTTAGTCATCTCGTTTGATATCGTACAGAATAACATTGAACATAAATATCTTCCGTGTCTCTGCGTGAAATATAAATGTCGAATGTTTTCCCCAATTTTTACAATCTATATTTACATGGCGGAAATTACATTAATTGCAATTGATATCGGGGAACGCGTTATCGAGAATGCAGGCTTCTTCGTAATCCTCGATATTTTTACAAAAATTCGAAGTAACGAAGCACTGTACACTCTCCATAATAGAACGTTCTAAAGGCGAGTTTGTTATTCGCGTTATTCACAATACGAGAGTATAAATGAGAGATGATGAATTCGGGCAAGTGGAAAGTAGAAAGTGTTTAATAGCTTAATGGCAAGGGAAGATGAGAATATTCCATTGCGCCTTTTTTCACGCGAATTTGTAATTCTGATGCAGAAATGTCTGAGAATTTCAATTTTCAGCGAAGAAAAAAATTGAAATTTAGAATCGCAATGACGGATTTCCGGAGAAGACTCGTTGATCAAATGTTCGAGTGAGATTAATGTGAAACTAATATTCGTAAGACGATTATTGATTATATTCGGCCACTGTGTGTTTAACGAAGAGATCGTAACTTCAGTCTCAGTACAAAGTAGGCGATCACCCTCAATGTAAGCAAAAAACCTGCCAACGCAACGGCATCTAACCAGAAGACGGCGTTTTGCATCGACATTTCTTCGAGGAACTTCGTCGGGCTCTTGAAGTGGCAGTACGCGTCGGAACACTTGAGCTTAGCACGATCATAACCATATACAGAAATCATGGCGCCTTCAAAACTGTATCTGACGTAGCTCACGTACGAAAGAAACTTCAGATACTTTGGAATGGCATCAAAATTGACGAAGAAACCGGAGAACAGAACAATTGGCACTGACGCTACAGGGCCAATAAATACTCCGCTCTGAAAGAGAAACAAAATTTGCCGTTTTACTAAAGATTCGGGAAATGACAACAAATAACGTAAAACAAGTTTCATGCAAATGAAACAGTACCTCCACACTCATCGCTGATCCTATCACTAAACCGATGGATTGAGAAACTAGCGCTGTTAATATACATATAGTTAAATACATCATGAATCTATTTGTTTCCAATGGTTGCGACGTCATGAAATATACAATAATGACGTATGCTATAGAATATACTATCTGCAATAAAAATAACAAACGTATCAATTGAAAAAAAGTCATTCATTGGAAACATGAATCGTGCTTATATAGCTTTATACCTACTTGAAAGGGTACGTCGGCCAAAGTTCTCGCAAGATAATAAGATTTTACAGAATACCAGTAATTTAAATGTTCTCTCACGAATACAGCCATCTCTGTCGGAACTGTATCAAAAAATGTTGTTAGTATATATAGAAGAGCATGCTTTAATTATTTATTGTGGCTCACTTACACGTAAGAATCGTAGGCATCATAGCGGTGAACATGAGAAACATCACCGTGAAGAAAACGCAGCCAGCATTGCTCATTACTTGCGAGGCTTCATTGCCGATATCGTAATAAATTGCACCGATAAGGAACCCAACGATTATATGGGAAATCAGCCTTACTCTCGTTAATGTCTACGGTAAAATAATAAAATACGATGTGATAGATATAATGAAATGTTATTATTGAATAAAGGCTATGTTCAAATATACCAACCATATCTCTTATTTGCGACAAGAATATTCTTTTAAGAAGGATCCAAAATTGCGTACAACTATTCGTTGGGAAGCCAACTTTCTGTTCTATACTTTCCGC